TTTGCAGTTAGTTACTATACATGCAGTTTATACACTACTTCCCATCATTTCATCACCAGAATGACCTCATTTTGGCTGGAGTTTTACTAGAATTTCTCTAAAATGCAATAATTGGTTTTACTGTGAAGCTTATAAATTGCTGGCCTGTTCTGTTTTTTATGTAACTCAAATGAGTGAAAATTGTTTAGTGCAAACTAAAAAAAGAAATCTGTGCTAAATGCAACAAGTAGTTGGTAATCATTTTCTTATACAGAACTACAGTCTTACACCTTTATGGGCTGCTGTTTGTAAAGTTACACAGTCAAAAATTACAACCAACATTTTTGTTTTATTTAGCCTTTTATAAGAAAAAAAAGAATATATTTATTTTTCAAAGTCATAAATATTTTACCTAAATATTTAGGTTGTAACCTAAATATTTAGGTTGCAACCTAAATATTTAGGTTGCAACCTAAATATAAAGGTAGCTAGCTAAATATTTAAGGTTCAAGCTAAACATTTAGCTCAAAACTAAATATTTAAGTCACAATTTAAATATTTAGCTTGTTAACTAAATATTTAATTTGTAAGTTAAATATTTAGTTTATAAACTATGACATTTATAAATGTATGAATCATATGGTGAAAAACTGACTGAAAAATAAATCTGTTAATTTTTTCTTATAAAAGGCTAAATAAAACAAAAATATTGGTAGTAATTTTTGACTGTAACTTTACAAACGGCACCCCATACACCTTCTCTGAGGGAATGGTTATTAGGCTTCTGCTTAACTTGAACAGGTCATTTAATCACTTAATCAGGTGTGTTGGAGCAGAGGAATGTCTTAATTATGCAGGATAGTGACCCCTAAGGACCAGGATTGCCCACCCCTGGTCTACACACACAAAACAAGTGTTTTAAACATTCATCTTGTGAGATATTACATCATCTGAAGGAATGTACATAGACTGAACAACATGCTCAAAGATCTGTGTCAGTTTTCATTAGAAGAGCTCTGAAAACCCTGACTCATCTAAAACAACAGTGTTTACTTTGGACTGCCTTTTCTGAATCTGCAGAGAATCTGATGACGTTCTTTAACACAGACACATACAAGCATATGTTGAGTATAAACAACTCAAAAACAAAATTGTGGTGTCGTCCCACAATAGAATACAAAGCAAAGAAGAAAAAATAAATATGATAAAAGGTTAAAGTGACTTGACAGGTAAAAATCAAAATAAAAGTACAATATAGGGTCTGTGTGCATTCAGTATGTTATTCTAACATACATGTTTTTAATCTGTGGGAGGAAACCACAATGCCCGTAAAAACCCTACAAACGCAAAAGGAGAACATGCAAAGTCTACACAAAAAGACCCCATGCAGGGGCTGAACCTGGGATCTTCTTGCTGTGAGGTGATAGTTCTAACCACTGTTCTGTCATGCTGCTTGTATTTACATAAAACCTAAAAACAGTTCATGAATCTAAACTATTAGTTGTCTGAGGGGAAGAGATTCAATCAAACTGAAAGGTTCGGTAAGACACCAATATTCTAAGACACATTTTTGTAATATTACAAAATATCACTTGAACTAATTAAAGCAGAATTTATCCTTGTTTTCCAGGCTGAAATGAGTCAGGCTATGCCTCCTATCACAATTAGTGGTTTATGAATGTTTTTCCACCAAACAGGAATGTTCATATTTAACGTCTGTACATGTTCTGTTTCTCTGGAGGAGAGGTAAAAGTGATCAAATGCAGGTGGTCATTTTCAGAGCTCTTATTTCTGGCACCAAGTTGAAAATAGTTAAGATATGAAGTTACAAATTACTGTCATTGTTTTATTTTCTTCCAAACACTTACAACTACCACTCCACTGAAGGTGATATAATATGTTGAGTCTGTCTCACTCTTAGGAACAGGGTTTCTCTTTGAAATCTGTAAGTCAGGCCATTCTGTTCAACAGCTCTATAACTGTTTTAGTTTGCAGCTTTAACGCTTTTGTTATTTTTACTGCCAGACAGAATACCAAGAAATAAAGAAGACCTATAAACAAACCTGTCTTGCAGACATTGACAAAAACAAACATTAACAAATCTATAACCGTTCAAAAAAACAACACAACAGGTTGTGCACAAACACCTACCTGACCCCCCGCCCCCCAGTGTTTACATATTTTTTACATAGATTCTTACTCATCCTGGGAAATTAAAAGAACAAACCTGCTCAAGTTAGGGTATAAATTAATGGCTGATGAAAAACTGTTTTTTTTTTAATTGGGCCTTAAGTAACTTTTGAGGGGTACAATCAGGGTTTTTTATGATTCTGAGTTGATTGTTAGCCTTTTTATGTCACCACAAACACTCCATTGTTGAAAAATGGCACACTCACATTTACATTTACATTCAAAGTAGCTTTCATTTCACACATCAGTGTTGTGCTGTCAGGACCAGCAAGACCT